TGCAGCGTACGGTCTGAACGTATCACTAGAAGCATGTAATAGTGCTAGGTGATGCCCTACTGTAGTACTCATAGAAGTGACCTCTAGAGCAGGTGGTTTATCAGCTAAAATAGAAACTAGGTTAGGACTGTGACCAAACAAAATCTGATGTGGACTCTATCGATCCTACTATTTTTGGCCATAAGAGCTCAGTCCAGGGCAGTTTGCCAATAACTCTCATTTTTTTATTTTTCCCCTTCAGGAGGATCTCATTCTGTGTAATTTGTGTGTCTCCAGCAGCCTGTTGCTCAAAGTAAACTTATATGTTTACTTTGAGCCAGTAAACTGGAGCCAGTAAACTGCTGTAGTCCTTTATTTGAATGTGGAAGTTTTTTTGCCTTGTCTGTAATTTCATTATTGCTATACTCTCCACCGTTGTCTGTGTGGATCCATGCTAAATCTGAACTTTTTTTTGTGTGCAAAATAACCGGATAGTCTTTGTCAGTATTAACAGAACTGTGTATGAGCCTCTCTAACGGTCTGTTAAAGGGGAACGCCGTTTCTTTTTACATTGGCCCCTTGATTTTACATTATTACATCATGTTCCTCTCAACCATATAAGTTTTGTGTCATTTGGAGCTGTTCTGAAGATATTCCGTTAGGTTATATCCAAGTAATGTCTTCCTATGGGCAAGTGACATGAAGGCACAAACTAAACTGTTTATAATTTATCATTTATTGTACGCCAGCATCCATAACATGTAGGCGAATCACTGTCCCCCAGAAATCCACGGTTATATTTTTTTATATTTATATATTTTTTTAAACAAAGCAGAGTGTGTATGATGTCATGGTTAATAGAACATGATGTAATAATGTAAAATCAAGGGCCCAATGTGTAAAAAAGAAAAAAAAAAGGCGTTCCCCTTTAAGTTAAAAGTTAAAAATGCGTGTGAAACTTTAGAAGAACTTGATGCTTCTCTTTTGCAGACATCTCGGCTGTAGCGAGAACTTCAATTTCATTTCAACACAAGCTGCTATTCTTATCCCCATCTCTTAATGTCCCCTAATGTTCCCCTTCTTCGCAGAGGAGGGAGGGGGGCGTTTAAATGTGACATCAAATGTCGTGTTTAAAGGTAATAATTGTATCTCAATTAAAAAGCTCTGCAAGTGAGTAAAACTCAAATGCCTACACTTAGGTTGAGCTCTGACCACTTTAACCCGTGTTTAAAAACCACACACTGGGCCCTGCAAATAACCCTCACAGCTGTCTGTGTCAAAGGGCAGGAAGAGTCTGCTAATATGTGATCTGCAGTGGAGGTTTATTCATCCTATCCTGTCTCCATTCTAATAGTTAAAGCACTGCTATCATTTTGTTCTTTTTTGTAGTAAAACCCTTCATAAATAATAGGGTATAAAGTCATGAAATTAAATGCTTAGAGTTGATATATTTAATCGGAAGCCTAGGTTTCAAATCTAGGCTGAGTTTCCATTGGTGCATTAAATCTTCATGTTAGATTGTCCTGTTGTACAGGCGTGTGGAATCATGGTTGTTTGGTAAATGTCTTTGCATGTCCCTATGGTGGACTAGTAACCTGTCTGCTGTGTGCCACCTGTTGGCCAATGACCAGTTGACCAAACATTTTGATCATGTGATTAAAAATTACCTTAAACCATTGCAGATGAGGCAAGTACACCCCTGTGAGGTGTTAAAAATGGTTTACGTTCAGAAACCAGGTGTTCTGCATGTGTGTCTCAGTTAATGCAGATATCAAAGTGCGCATTGGTGCAGTCGCCAGTGTTGTTGAAGGACCTTCTTAGGCCCCGTCCACACGAAGCCAAACCCTGGCCTAAACGCACAAATTTTTCACCAAACCAGCCTCTCATCCATACGAAGCCGGCGTTTCGGGGGTCTGTAAATGATCTTTTTTTTATTAAGCCTTCAGAGTGGGAAGATTTTGAAACGCCGTTTTCGCGTTTCCATCTTTAAGCTCTAACCGCATTTTTTTTTTTACACGCATGTGTCATAGCGTCGCCTCTAAACACGCATGTGCGACACAGTATCACAACAACAATGGCGCCGTACTGTGTTGAATGGTTGCTGCTCATGCTACTCACCCTGCTGTCGGGCTTACAACAGAATCTTCTTCTTCTGGAATATCTCCAGGAAGAACAGAGCAATATCGACGACATAGTTCAGCACCTGAATTTGACTGAACCACGAAAATGGACCCGCAGGGCAACCATGTATTAATATTAGTGTGCATGCCCAACATTTCGTCGCCTATTTTTGCTTTGGCACCACAGCGCCACTTACAGGCCTTGCATACATTTTGCAGCGTTTTCATGCATTTGTGTGTAACATTTATTTTACGTCTCCGTCTTTACGACAAACGTTCTGGAAAATATTAGCGTTTCGTGTTCGTTTTGACTTCGTGTGGACGGGGCCTTAACCAGAAGAGAAATACGCCACCCATCACACCCACAATCCTAGCTAGTTTAAGGTTGTCCCTCTTGCATTGTGGCATTAAATGATATAGCGCAGACCACGCTTCAAAATTGGACATAAATCAAAAATATCTGCGTCATTCCTGCGACAAGCTAACTGTGACACACTGCTGCGAGAGTATAACCAGCCCTTAAGAAACTACTCCATGCTTCCATTTCATTATCATAAAAATCAGGTAAAAAAAAGGCAGAACAAAAAGGGTCAAGGAATATCTATGAAGGATCTAAGTCATCGTGACTGACTGAGGACTGGAAAGATTTAGCTTGTTTTGGCTGTATGTGGTAATCGGATAAATCTTGGTTAAAACAAAACATACCAAATATCACCTCCATATTATCATTGCCTTTTTCTCAGTTCTGCCACCTAAAACAAGCATTAACCCCTGAAGATTTTCAGCCAGATTTAACTCCCCAAAATCCTTTATTTTTTTGTTGTGGAACCAGTTTTTTAATTTAGACTCGTAGGCTGTCAGTGGATTCACCTTTACTGGTAACTGTTAGATTTAGCTTTGGTGAATCTGAAAAACTTGCATATAATTTAAGATCAAACTTTTAATTAATGATATGTGGTTCATGCCTTCTATTTGTGAAGATTTTATGTAACAGTCTAATTGTGTTTAGTGGCCTAGAGGTCGGTCCAGAATGCTTAAGTGAAAGGCGCCTAGACTTTTCTCCTTCCAAAGATATCTACTACTTGAACACTTCTGGCTGCCGTGACTTAAGTGGCTGAGAATCTACCCCACCACTATACTGGAGTCACATGACCACGTTTACATTAAGTAGATTCTGATAAGATTATGGTAGATTAATGTAAATCCTCAGCTGGGAAAGCATGTGTAAAGATGGACTGTGCTCATCTTTATTCACAGGACCCTTGGTGGGTTCGTTTCTCTATGTAACTAAATAAAAAGGTTGGTGGTAAAGAGACCAAATGTTCATCTTTATGAAGTGTCAAAGTAATGAACATACCTGCTCTGAGGCATTGATTAGGCTTTTCCTGCAAATTTGCTCCGATTTCTGTTTTTTTAATAATTAAGAAATATCGCATGTTTTATTTTACAAGATTTGCCACAAGAACATTGTAGTTTAGACATCAAAGTTGATATATTTGACTTAAAGATTATTTTTTTTTTTTTAAACATAAAGCAAGGGCATCCAAGTACATGCTGGTTGTTTCCACATTATCATTAGAAATGTGATTTCTTAGGTGTTTAGCAGGAAAATCTTTATTTTCTCCAAGTTTCTCTTTGTAAAGCTCAGTATGCCAGACAAATGTAGGATTGTATAAATACATAAGGAAAAAAAACAACTTTCATTTGGTTTAAGGCAAGTACATATTTTAATAAGATCTTTACTTTTGATATATTTGTAAAGTAGGATAAGTGATAAGATGGTGTGACTGCTATTAAGGTTTAAATGAGATGATCTTATCTGGTCTCAAAGCAAATATTGAGCCTGACTGTTAAACATGAGACAGAGCAGGTCTTTAACAGTGTGGCTTATTTTTATCACTAATTGTCAGTCAGAGGGATCAGTTTGCCTGCTTTCTCCCACCTGAAATGTATAACACTCCATTTTTAGAGCTTGTATACAGAATCTACCTCCTGCAGTATAACAGATGTTGATATAATGAATGCAGATATCCTGCTGTTCATCTGTTATAATTCAGACTTATTGTTAAAACATCAGAGACCAGAAATGAAGCAGTTGTCATTATACATCTTCTCATTCATGTCTGTTAGTTGTTAAGTGTTCAGGAAATAGAGCCAGAAAGGCTCCATTGGTCTTTAACAGTCAGGTTTTTATCTGACCTACAAAAGGTTTTTAAGAAGCTGTAAAGTCTTTTCTTTTAAACCATTCACACCCTCTGAGGCATCGTCTTGTAAACCAAAGTCTTACAGGAAATGTGTAAATCTCTAAACAGGAACTTTCAACATTCCCATTAGACTTTGGGTTTGTTCTCCCCTTAGTGTGTAACATTAGATCAGGATCATATGGATGGACTGCGTGTGAGATTTTACTAGAATCAGGTTTGTACTTCATTAATGTTGGGATTTTTATTTATCACACTTGGATCATTGAGTGGTTTGGTTCTCTGCAGTGTCTGATGTAAAACTGAATTTCATCAGACTTATTCAACATCCTGTTTCTGAGAAGTCCAGAAAGCTTGGACCAGTTGTTGCCATGGGAGTGGGCGGGGTCAGCTTTATAACTTCCAGACAGCAGATAGTTGCTTTATGGCTCTTTTATCAGTTGAGTCAGGGTTATTACTAATCAGAATAGTATTATCTGTTTCTGATCTTTATATGTCACTAACCTGTCACACAGTTTATACAGAATCCCCTTTCTGGTCATGCTGACATGACTGGAATGAATGGAAAGTTCAGGATGTGCCAAAGTGTTGCAGTAAACCACTGGAAGATGTGATGCGCTGATTTAAAACTAAAACAGCGATGTGTTGCCTTAACATTTATATTTAGACCAATTCTAAAAATAATATTTTTTGCTTCCAGATTGATAAGTACCTGTACTCCATGCGCTTCTCTGATGAGACGCTGCTGGACATCACCAAGCGCTTCAGAATGGAGCTGGTCAACGGGCTGGGCGGTGACACCAACGCCACCGCCTCGCTAAAGATGCTCCCAACGTTTGTGCGGTCGATCCCGGATGGAACAGGTTAGTTTATCCGAGGTTAAATATTGTCCACCCCAGTTCTGCTGCTGCTGGTTCCTCACACTCATCCATCTCATATAGGCTTACTTTTTAATGAAATGCCCACAAACTCCTAAATGGTTTAGTTCTAGGGTAGACAACATCCGTCCTGCAGCTTTTGTATGCATCCCTGCTCTAACACACCTGAAACAAAAGTTCAAATGATCCCCTTGGCTTGTCGGTAAGGTTAGCAGAGGCCTGACCATTAACCATTAATTTGTTTCAGGTATGTAGAGGAAGGGATGCATGCAAAAGCTGCAGGGCAGTGCATATGTAGACGCAGCATCTCCACGATGAAACCTAGCTGTTATGGCCCCATCTTCTTAAAGGAATGTTCTGCCTAAGCAGGGATAAAGAAGTTAACATAGTTAACTGGAATTTGAATAATGCTGAATATAGGGGATGGTGAGAAGAGCAGGGCAACATACGCTGTCTTGGTCTGACAAAAATAAAAAAATTTGCCTTACCCATTTTCTATCAAACCTTGCATATCAAACTTAACTAGTTGGCAGGCGAAGGTCTTCATTTTTGCAACTGATTTGATTTTTTTTTTTCTTCCAAAGATTTAAGTGTAACAGAATTTCTAACAGGAAAATTATTCAATGGTGGCAAAAAGATAACATCTAGATGTGCATTATTTCACCCATATGATGGCTGTTGGTAAAAAGATATTGCCTAAAATATGATGTTTCACAAGATCAGCTATTCTAGTGAGAAATCCGGCTCAGCTGAATATGAAAAGTCGGGCTGAAACAACAAATCGGATTAATTGTGATTAATTGATCCTAATTATCAGTCTTTCAGGTTGATATGTTTACATGAGGTTGACATAGTGGAAAAATTGCAAATCTTCTTCTGGTAATTAAGCTTGTATGAGTGATACAAACAGCAACTTTTAAACAGAGCGTGCACGAGGAGAAATAGGCCCATGCATGCTCTCGCACAGGTTTAGTAGTAGACGTTCCCTTCCGGGAAGCGGGTAGAGCGTTGTGCATGTTTTTTTTTTTTTTATTTATTTTTTTTTACTGTTTTGGCTGTTTCAAAGTTGCTGTTTGCATCCCTCATATAAGCTTGCTTTCCGAAACAAGTTTTGCAAATTTTCCACCATGTCAGACTAACCACAGGTAATTAATCAAGTTGTTAATGGATGTTAAAGGAAACAAAAAAATCCATATAGTTTCACCCATCAGGAATTTATATTCCTATGTGATAAAATCCTGATGGAAAATATTTGTGTCAAAGAGGAGTCATTATTGCTCTCTATTGTCTGTCATGTCAAATAACCTTTGATGCTGTGTTGTTTGTTTTGCTCACAGGCATGATGGATTTTCATATTGTTTATACATGATCAATACTGTTGGTCAGAGCCTCTCTCTCCACATCATCATGCCACTTCTGTTTCCTGTAGTTTCAATGACCCAGCTGTGCTGTGTAATGCTCTGTGCTACACAGAAAAACCTCAGACAAATCGGATGAGCTTTAATCTTGTTGGAGAATCCAAAGTCAGTTTAAACTAAGCAGTGATTCTTCCTTAAACTATAGCATTTTCAGTTGGTAATGTTGTTCTTCTAGTCAATAATGATTGTAAAATTACTTTCACTCTAAGTTTTCTACAGTTACCACTTGGAATATTCAATTCAGTTCATTTCTACAGCATCAATTCACAACAAATGGCACTTTACAATTCAACCAGATCATCCAGTCAAATTGATTCAAAGATTTCTATCTAAGGAAAACCATTTAATTGCATCGACTCATTGACTCTTCAGCAATCCCTCACGCCAAACATGCATGTAGCGACAGTGGAGAGGAAAATTCTCTTTATATCGTATTGATGTATTTTAACAGATTTGGTTAAAAAATCTGCAGTCTTTAATACAAGTGCTCTTTGGTACAGTACGGGCCTAGTTCAATTAGTTTCCACATCGACCCACATCATTTCAGATTAATTTATTGTTTATTTACTTATCATTCATTTCTTTATCTTAATGAGAATGATTTGATAACCTAACATTTTCTAGGGTATTATATTATTTGAGATGAACTCAGCTTTTAAAACATCTTTTTAAATGGTCAGCCTTGTGGAATATAATCATTTTTTCATATTATTCTCTCGCAAAGCTGCTGATTTCAAACAACTGAGCTAGATTTCTGCAAAATTGCAAAAACGTTTTTAGTTTGCAAATACCATACCATACCACCTTAGATAACTACATACCCTACCACCCTATGTTTATTTATATAGTACTTTAAAAACCCGGCAACACGTGGTTGATCAAATTGCTGCACGACAAGTAAAATGGAAACAATTCTACACCTACAAACGCTACTATAGCAGAATAAGATTAGACTAAAAAGGGCAATCAAGGCCCATCTTGCATGGTGATAAAGACCTAAAAGCAAAAGTGTGCTTTTTAAGTGAGGTCTACAAGGATTATCTGAGGGAACTTTTCTAGGCAGCTTGTTCCAGAGCTCTGGACCAACACTGCATCACCTCTTCACTGCAGCTGAGTTGAAGCCCCACCCCAGCTCCACAGTATCCTACCACCACATTCTGATAAGCAGAAGCTCCAAACACTTATCTAATCCAAAAAGTTATAAAATGTTACATAGTAGCGTCATTCAGAAAGAATGAGATTAAACGCCACGTGCCTCAGTAAAATGTTTTTTGATGACCTAAATAAAAAATATGTGCTCCCTGGTGGAACCTGTGGTCTAAAACGATTTTATAAAAATCCAGGAACAAAAGCCTAGTTGTCCTGGACTGTAATCATGTCAACGACTTATTCTGAAACCCTCTCTGTAGTGCTTCCATGCCTTTTACACAATCCAACACCAAGTTGTTTTACATATCTGCCTGTTCTGATTGTATGTTTCTCTTCTGTTTGACTCCCTCACAGATGTAAGATTTGTCAGCCAGTTTTGTTTTTTTAAAATCTACAGATCTAGGTTTTAAGAAAGAAGCCATATTTTTAGCCTGACCTTATTCTTAGCCTGACCTTCATAGAAGCCTTGGTTTTGTTTTATTTATCAGGGGAAAAGGTCACATTATGACTCCACTAACTACATTTATAGCAGCTTTATAAAACTTGGAATAAAATGGAATTATAGATCCTCATCACCTATGGATAATCAGCTTTAGTCTAAATATAATGTACTGCATTGCTGTTGCACTCTTGCTAAAAACACAGTATTTAAAAAAGCGAAATTAAAAATGATAACTCCTTTAAATAGAAAATCTTCCTCCTTGATAAACTTTGCAGCAGGTGATAAAAGCCTGCCATAAAGCTCCTGGTTATGTTAACCATTAATCAAATATTATAACGAAGGTCATGCCAGAATTAAATAGTTTAAAGCAGGGCTGTAAAGATTCCCATCAGCATGTCTGCACATGAAAAAGTAGGAATGCAAAATACTATATTATATTTCTCTTTTCTATCACAAGCATTTTTTTTAATTTATACTAAAATGTTTATATTAAGAGTAAATACTTCAGTAAAGCATCTCCTTTTAGAATTCGGCTGTTATTTGGATTCTCATGTTCAGTATTTTTCTAACGCTCATATATTTCAGTTCTGTTAGCTTTCGGCCGCGGCAAGCATGGGAGCGTAGACGGGATGTGAAGATAAGCAGAGGTTCCCCATCAGAAAGGAAAAGGGATCGTTAAACACACAACCTGTGTTAAACTATAACGCTAACATATTATTCACGGGTTAGATGGTCTAGTCAAAGTCACGCTTTTTATACTTTCGCCTGTAAAGATGGTTTGCTTTTCTTATTTTTGTTTGTCTAGATATGAAATGAATATCAAAAGAGAAATCATGTATTTAGACCTGTTGGTTCAACTGGGTGGATTGGAAAGGCTCAAACGCTTCATGTTTTCATGCAATGTAATCCCTCTCTTCCTGTACTGATATCTTTTCTCTCTTACTGTGTTCCCATCGCCTCTGCCTCGACAGAGAAAGGAGATTTCATTGCTTTGGATCTGGGAGGCAGTAACTTCAGAATCCTGCGTGTCAAAGTCAGCCATGAGAAAAAACAGACGGTCCAGATGGAGAGTGAGGTCTACGACACGCCAGAGGATATCATTCACGGCAGCGGAACAAGAGTGAGTTTATTTTAGATGTACTCCGGTTCCCATCAGCTCTTCCTGATGATGATGCCACCTTCTTCCTCCTCTTCTCTCCTCCAGCTGTTCGACCATGTGGCCGAGTGTCTAGGCGACTTCATGGAGAAACATGACATCAAAGACAAGAGACTCCCAGTGGGTTTTACCTTCTCCTTCCCCTGCCAGCAGAACAAACTGGATGAGGTAAACACCTTTTACTAAGGTGTTAAAGTTGCAGCTGAGATCCTCCAAAAGGAATCTGAAACATTTCTCTTTCCTTCTATCCAGGGCTATCTGATACAATGGACGAAACGTTTCAAAGCCAGCGGGGTGGAAGGGATGGATGTTGTCCAGCTGCTCAACAAAGCCATTAAGAAACGAGGAGTGAGTGACACAATGAGCCATAAGGCTTCCAGTCACAGCGGGAAATAGTACACAAATTACATGAGAAACTCATCTGTATTCCGTCTCATTTGTTTCAGGACTACGAGGCCGATATCATGGCAGTAGTGAACGATACCGTAGGAACAATGATGACCTGCGGTTTTGATGACCAGCGCTGTGAAGTTGGCATTATCATCGGTATAGCTTTGTTATAACAGGAGGGGAAGAAGTCTGATTAGTAAGGGAGGTTAAAGTTATTTTTCTTTGGCTACAGGTACTGGCACCAACGCCTGCTACATGGAGGAGCTGCGTCACATCGACCTGGTGGAGGGAGACGAGGGCCGCATGTGCGTCAACACTGAGTGGGGGGGATTTGGAGACGACGGCCGGCTGGAGGACCTCAGGACGGAGTTTGATAGAGAGATAGACAGAGGTTCTCTCAACCCCGGCAGCCAGCTGTGAGTTAAACCTTCATGGAAATATTAGACCTGATGGTTCTCCATCACACAGCAGTTTATCCAAAAATAGAGGAATGAGAATGTCAGCAGCATTGTTTTGCTAAACTATATGTACGTCTTGATATTTTTCATATTCTTTAACACAGACTTGAGTGTCTTTTATTGAGATTTCAAGGTACAGTCAGGAATGTCAGCGAACAAACCATATGAGGACCAAGGAATGCAGCAGACAGCTTATAAAACAATATGAGTGAAATGTGTGAAAAAATTACTTTTAAAAGTGGAAAGAAAAGAAATGTATTAATAAAAAGGTCCGAGAAGGCTGATCATGAAGCCCTGCTGGTGGATTAAACAGAACAGAACAAACAGAATAGAACATTTTAATGGCTTTATATCAAGCTCTTCACACCAACCATCCCTGCTGTGGAACACAGTGGTGGCTGTGTCATGGTGTGGGGAAGCTTTTTATTATCCCCAAGAGACAGGAATCCTGCAAAGAGCTTATGGGAGCTGTTTTTTTATTTATTCTTTTTTTTATGTGAGGCAATCTAAAAATAAAAATTAAGAAAATACAATCAAGTATGTCACATTAAAATGTCGTAATATTATCAATAGCTTGTCATTTTATGTAATAAAAAGTGACCTATATCTGACCCATTTCATCTTTCATGACATTTCCTGCAGTTTTGAGAAGATGGTCAGTGGGATGTACATGGGGGAGCTGGTTCGCCTCATCCTGGTAAAGATGGCCCGAGAGGGGCTGCTGTTTGAGGGGAGAATCACCCCTGAGCTGCTTACTAGGGGCACATTTGAGACCAAACATGTTTCAGCAATAGAGAAGTAAGTGCCACCCAAGAAGTAACTGAAGCACTAGTTTTTGTTTGTATGAGAAATAATTACATCTTATGTTTTCTTTTAACCCTTTCTTTTGTTTAGGAGTAAGGAAGGTTTAATCAAGGCAAAAGATATCTTAAGTCGACTTGGCGTGGAACCTTCAGCAGACGACTGCGTCGCTGTACAACACGTGTGTATTCCTGCAAAAGGAAAAAGAAAAACTGCTTAAAATGTTAGATGGTGAAATTCAGATTGTTATGTTCTGTTTATCAAGGATAAGCATATATATTCATCAAGAAATAAAATAGTCAATGATCCTTTTTTTTTTGGGCAACATTGTTGAGACTGGTTGCTTAACCTTTAGTTTTAGATTAACTAAAATTATGGAAAGGTTTATTTTAAGGAAATGTTTTCAGGTGATACAAGAATAACCTGTTTTTTATGGTCTGCATCCTTTAGGTTTGTGCCATTGTCTCCCACCGCTCTGCTAACCTGGTAGCTGCTGCCCTGGCTGGCATCCTGTTGAGAATGAAGGACAACAGAGGATTGACACGACTCCGAACCACTGTGGGCATTGATGGGTCTCTGTACAAGATGCACCCACAGTGAGTGTGTCGATTATAACTCCCTCCTCACATCTACACCCGCCTGTCTGTTAAAGAAAGGCCTTAAAACGCTCCAATCCAGACACTGAATGATGTTTTTTTTTTTTTTTTTTTTGTTTGAAGATACGCTCGTCGCCTCCATAAGACCGTCAGACGTTTGGTTCCCGACTGCGACGTCCGCTTCCTTCTATCAGAGAGTGGCAGTGGGAAAGGCGCTGCCATGGTGACAGCAGTCGCCTACAGACTCGCCGATCAATCCAGACAAATCGCCAAGATACTGTCCGAGTTCCGCCTGACGACCGAGCAGCTGCTCGAGGTAAACAAGGAGTTCCCCCATATTGTGTATATTCCACTAAGATGGGCCGACAGCGTTTAGAAAGCTGATGTTTACGTTGTTGCAGGTGAAAAAGAGGATGAAGACAGAGATCGAAAACGGTCTTTCAAAGAGTACACAGGACACTGCCACGGTCAAAATGCTGCCTACGTTTGTCCGCCGCACCCCTGACGGCTCAGGTAACCCTCACTTACAAATCTGCCATCTTTGATCTGCTCGGAAAAACTTCTTTTTTTCTAATCCACTGAAGTTTGACCTTTTTTATTTACGGTTCCTGTTCCATAATTAAAACGCTAAAGTCTTTAGCTTCAAATATGCATTCAGGTTATTGAGCTTAATGGGTACCAACTCTGTGACCATTGTGGCCATTTTTGCTTTTTATTACTGAAATCTCAATGTATATTTTTTTATAGGCTTTGCTGTTTTTGATACATGGTTTTTCAATTTGAATCGATTCAAATTACTTTTTGAATCCCAAAGGGAAATTAAATCTCGCTGTTACTCATGGGCAGTTTTTAAATGAGATGTTATAGGTGTAGACAGAAAGCATCTTATGTTGGTCACTCTACACTCTTCAATCCACATTTGTGCAGAAAATGGGGATTTCCTTGCTTTGGACTTGGGTGGAACCAACTTTCGGGTTCTGATGGTCAAGATTCGCTCTGGGAAGAAGAGATCGGTGGAGATGCACAACAAGATTTACGCTATTCCTTTGGAGGTGATGCAGGGAACAGGAGAGGAGGTGAGATTGACAGGAGATCCAAGGAGGGAAAATAAACGGTTTCTTCCTTTAGATCCTCAAAAACCTTAGAGGTGACGGATGGGAATCTCAGAATGGATAGAGGGGGAACCAAAGTGTTGCTCATGTTTCCTCCCTATTAGGGTCTCTTTTAAAGGATTCACAGTTATTCTTCCTTATCAGTCCAAATTCCTGAACTTAACTTATAGCCTTAGAATCTTTGTTGTCCAACTGAGTTAATCTGTAGAGTAGTTCTTTTTTCACAGTGCTATGAAAAGCTATTTAGATTGTTGTTGTTTTTTTTGTTATGCCTGTTTTATATCCATAGACTTACTTTAATATATAACTAGATACTTCATATAGGTTTCAAGTAACTATTTAATTAATGCATTAAAACATGCCAAGTCAAAAGGGTTTTATTTGATAATATTGGGCTGATTAAGATCACTCCAGTAGAACCTGTTTAACAGGATGACACCAAGAAAAAGCAGCATATCCTGTGCAGATTTATATACATACAACAGTTGAGAAACAAAGTCCCTGACGTCTATCAGAAACTGTATTTCTGGAGTCTTGGCATTTCAGTGAATCTTGGGCTACATTCACACTGCAGCTCTTACTGCAAAATTCTGTTTTTTTTCCGTCAGATCCAATTTTTTTTTATGTGGCTGTTCAAATGACTGTGTCAACTTGTGTCCTTGAAGGGGAGCAGCTGTGCAGAAAATTAAAAAAAAACGTGTCAGAAGTTGTTGTCAATGGATGGTTTTAAAGCTGTTAAAGCTGCAGACGATGAAAAAAGAAAAGTTAGAAAAAAGGGAGCTAAACGATCCATTATAGCTTTCTGTGGAGCAGTTACACTTCAAATGTGTGGGTACGACTTCGTAATCAACTGATCCCTTATGTTTCTTGGATGGTTGTAGCCGACCATATATTTGATTGTCCATCCACTCTACGCTGTCCTCTGTTTGTTCCGCACTGTAATTGTTTTCATCCCCGCACTGTCAGTACAGTGTGACCTCATCTCCAAACTAATTCCCATATGGGTCACTTGGCTGTTCAGACTGTAGTTACATTCTATAAGATCCAGCCTGTACTGGATTTAAAACCACATACAAACGTGACTCAAGGCTATTTTGAAAAAGTCTGATTCTATGTGACTTGGCTTGTTCAGACAGTCGGGAAAGAATCTCATCCAAATCACTCAGGGCAAAAAAAAAAAATCAGATTTGGGCGATATTAGTGTGAACGTAGTCTTAGTCATTATCTACAAAGATTGTTTTGTCTGCTTAAATCTGGATAATTAGTTCAAACTTGGCAATGTATTTGTGTTTCCATCTTTGTTGTGTTAGAATGTGTGGGTTATCTCAAGATGTATGATTTCAGTTCGAAATCTGAGGGAACTTTGAAACGTGGAGCTCCTTCATGCTTGGAAATACCTTTTGTTTATTTTAAAATGCTTGCATCTGTTACAGCTGTTTGATCACATAGTACATTGCATCAGTGACTTCCTGGACTACATGGGGATGAAGAACGCACGTCTTCCTCTGGGCTTCACCTTCTCCTTCCCATGCCGACAGACGAGCCTTGATGCTGTGAGTCGGCCCGGCTGTGCTTATAAAGCTGATCCATCTCGCGACCCAGAATGGACCCATCTGTGACGCTGTGCTTCTGTATGCAGGGCATCTTGGTGACTTGGACCAAGGGCTTCAAGGCGACAGACTGTGAGGGAGAAGATGTTGTCGGACTGCTGAGGGAAGCCATTAAGAGAAGAGAGGTAATCTTTAAAGACGAGCGTCATTCTTTTAAAAGCAGTGGGTTAGTAGCTGTATTTTACCTCATTGCCTGGGCTGCTTTCCTCAGGAGTTTGACCTAGATGTGGTGGCTGTCGTCAACGACACAGTGGGAACCATGATGACCTGTGCCTACGAAGAGCCCACCTGTGAGATTGGACTCATTGCTGGTTAGTTCCTGTTTATTTTTTCTTTTCACAGAATACAAATCTTTCCCTGCGCTGCGTCGGCTTTAAGCGTGCCTTTTGGCTGCAGGAACTGGCAGCAACGCCTGCTACATGGAGGAGATGAAGAACATTGAGACGGTCGAGGGCGATGAGGGACGCATGTGTGTCAACATGGAGTGGGGGGCTTTCGGGGACAACGGATGCCTGGACGACTTTAGGACAGAGTATGATAACATGGTGGACGAGCTCTCTCTGAATCCAGGGAAACAAAGGTACTTTTTAGAACATAAACATTTCCTACTCAGAAAAACACTTGTTCATGTATTCAGTTCAGGACCTTTTTTGTTCTTTCGTGTCACAGATATGAGAAGATGATCAGCGGCATGTACCTCGGAGAGATTGTGAGGAACATCCTCATAGACATGACCAAAAAGGGATTCCTATTCAGAGGCCAGATTTCTGAAACACTGAAGACCAGAGGCATCTTTGAAACAAAGTTCCTTTCACAGATAGAGAGGTAAACAAAGAGAACAAACTGTCTGAGGGCTCAAATTCTGATTTTATTTTATGGTTTAGTTTATTTAAATAAGTTGATCGTCATGTTTTCTGCCTGCAGTGACAGATTGGCCTTGCTGCAAGTGAGATCCATCTTGCAACACTTAGGACTGGACAGCACATGTGACGACAGTATCATCGTCAAAGAGGTATGGTGAACAGAAAGCACTGGACTCATCCTAAACTAAATAATTCAGCCATGAACTCGGCAGAGAACCTTCTTATCACCGTCTCCATTGTGAAAGGAAAAAGTGCGTGAGCACTTTGGTCACACACTGGGAAAAATGTTGCAAACATTTGGTTTCCAAGTTTGATCAATGATATCTTTGTTCTGTGTGGCAACTCACTTTGCTCCATTTTTTTTTTTTTTAAATGATGCAACAATGATAAGAGTCTTTATTTGTAGGTATGTGGAACAGTGTCGCGGCGTGCCGCTCAGCTGTGCGGGGCAGGGATGGCAGCTGTTGTGGATAAGATAAGAGAGAATCGCGGACTGGACCATTTGGACATCACTGTGGGGGTGGACGGGACGTTGTACAAATTACATCCACAGTGAGTTTGATCTGTTTATTTTATAAGTAAAATTCCTCAAATGGTAACATACCAATTTTGGTTAATATGTTTTTAAGTGTGAAACTGAAGGAAGTTGACCACCTTAAAAAAGGTGGGCGTGTCTATCTCACAATAATGTTAATAAAAAGGTTTTGAGTGGAAACAAGGAGGCTTTTTTATCCTGATGAAGTGCAATGGATTTCTTCAAAAGGAGACACTTTCCCTTTTGTGAACCCCTGAATATTTATAGCTCTAATTAGAGGGGAAAGAGTAACATAAATGATTTATGTAATTTAAAGGCAAGTTTGTCTGATTCATGCATAGATCTGAGCTTTTTGGTATCAAAATAGTACTGCAGATATATTGCAACCACAGTATCATTGTGTGCAGGATGAATATCACAGAGCTATAGTTAACTTAAATATTTCAGCTCTTATTAAAGGTCTTCAATCTTTGCTGCTCAAAGAGCAGAATTCAAGCAATTCTGATCAAGCAAAATACCTCTTTACCACAAATTTATTTAGCACAATATAGGCTACTTAAATTGCATTTTATATGTTAATTTAATGATAGATAGTTGGACACAGCGTCTACTAATCACAAGTACTTAACATTGTAGGAAGGGAAGATTAGATGGAAAAGAGAAATGTATTGATACTGCTATCATCTCTCAATATTTACCAATATTAGCATAAGATCAGAGATTTAGTTCTTTTGAATAGAATTTCTCTGTTGTTACTCGTCCTGCTTAAGATCCTAATGTCTGGAACTTGGCATTATATTAACTTTCAATCATTGTATCTTATTTCTGCTTGCAAATCATTATGGACATGTTTATAGGTGCCCAATATTCCTGCTCTGCATATCATGTCAATGATGTTATTGGACAGTTGGATGGACTAAGAAGGCAGAGGGAACAGATAACAAACACAAGTGTAAGAGAAATCAGAGTTTTTCAGAATCAATAGGATCGTCCCAAATTTCAGCAATAGCATCATAAATCCCCCTAATATTGTGCAAACAATAACATCAACCATACAATAAGCCTACAATAATCCATATCAGAATTTAGATCCAAACTGTTTGATTTAGGAACAGTTTGTGATCTTTGCATTAAACTTAAGCTTCATCCATTTATTTAAAGTTGTTTTTGATTGTAAGTGATCCTGACGATTCACCCTCAGAGCCTGCAGTGACAACTGGTAGCAGGGCAAAACAGCATTAGCGGTGATAATTTGCTTCCTTAATGCACACTCAGCCCTTTCCAGCTTAGTGGTGCGAAGGAGTGACATTAACAGGTTGATTTAAGCCTTTACTGTCTTCTGAAGTTCTTTTAAATAAACTCTGTACATTTTGTTCCATCTTAAAAACAGACGGACTGCTCTGCTACAAAAACATTTTGTACCTGAGGTGATAAATACTGTAAGAATGTAAAATGCCTGTGCTTTAGAATGAGATGATCAAGTCGAGTCATGTTTAACGACCATGGCTGAATTTGAAACTTGTGTCATAGAGTTTAATCAAGCAAAGTGTATATGTATAATTCTTTTTATCTGGATATGAAACTGTTGCTCAGTTTTTTTTTTAACATGTTTTTGTTAGTTTCATTACTTGTCTGTTTCATTGTAACACAAGTTGTAGTTTATTTCCTCCTGTTGATCCAAGATCGTATCATATCTCCTGTTTCTGCTTAGTTTCTCGCGGGACATGCATCAGACTGTCAAGGAACTGGCCCCTAAATGCACCGTCAACTTCCTGCTATCTGAGGACGGCAGTGGCAAAGGAGCGGCTCTCATCACAGCCGTGGGCTGTCGGCTTAGGGAAGAGCTCAACAGTAAATAAAAAAAGAAATGATCTGCAGTTTGTCGTTTTCACCCCATTCCTCCCATCCTCCTCCCCTTTCTGACACGCCTGGTTTTCTTCCAAACGGACTACAGTCAACACCTTACATCCTGGCTGCTGTTCCAACCCTGTGTCTACCTGAGACAAATAAAGGGGCACTCCCTTTCTCTGCAGACTTCAGTAGCAGAGGTTATCTATAGCAGTTAACTATATCCAACAGCAACCAGTTGCTTCAAAACACACTTTTGTGATTATAAACTTTAACACTTATAAAGATAAAACATCTGATTTAAAACATAATTAAATATAATATGAATATGTTTTATTTTTATTATGTTTTATTTTATGCTACCTATTCCTGGTTGCTCCAATGTCTCCACCTGGAGGCTTTATCTGGTTACTGCAGTTGCCAGGTTTCCTACAAGTCGTAAATAAGACATTCATTTCATGATTCAAGAAAAAACAACACAATTTTAGACCAATTTGTGTCTGTTTGCTGCTGTTCTAGTCTTAATATTTTTACAGGGTGACTTAAATCGATCGGATGGAGAAGAAAGGGAATATTTGTGCTTAAGGTTTTTAAAAGTCTCACCCTGATGTGATGCAATATATTTCGCATTGTTATTTATTTTATTTTTATGATTAAAAATATTCCTGTTGCAAATATCATACGCACACAGTGGGCCACTGGCTGATATTCCCTGACTTTATTTTCCCCTTGCACTGTGCACCAACCCTACTTTCATGTGTCTGCTGAGTGTGTGTTTCCGCTCTCTGACTGCAATGTGTACAGCTCTCTGTAAGCCACTGCAAACTGCGTCATACTGTTGGTACTAATTGCAGCTGCTGGAAAACTAGCTGTTGGGTTTTTTTGGTAGTCATGGCCGTCCTTATCAGCATGAACGTGGTGCTAACATGATGAACAAAGATGGCAACCTGAGTATAAATGAAAGAATGTAACAGAGGCAAATGTTTGGGAAAGATTTATTGCATTTTGGCAGAAGATGTGTATATTAAAAAAAAAAAAAAAAAAAAAAAAAAAAAAAAACTCCACTTCATCAAGAAGGGTTTTTTTCATACGGAAATCTCAGGAGAGTTTTAGGGATTTTTTGGATTTCGTTTTTTTCTTCTTCATTAAAACCAAAAAGAGATGCTAAAATGTACATTTACTATTTTTGATGCAGTTTCCTGTGTTAACACTGGTCTTTTTTTTTTTTTTATAAATATCTGACGCTTTTAGTTCTGTTTTCAGTTCTCATGTCGCAGTCTATGCAGCATAGATTACTGTCTGGTTAAAACACCATTTCATTCCCGGTCAGCTTTCCTGTGCTGTTTATCGGACTGCCAGCTTCTACTAAACGTCCAGATGGTTTTCTTACTTCGGTCCACTAAACAGACTGTACTGTTAAACATTTTCTGTCACTCAATAAATCAAACCTGTGTTGTTCTGATGCAGCGATTTTCATTGCACATTGTTTTCTAATGCATTGTTATGAATATTTCTGTTTTATTTTCAATTAATCAAATTTTTTCACAAGCATTTTTATTATCACTTTACATTTTCACATTTCATTGTGATGTTTGGTCAAATATGGAAGTTTAAGGCAAAAAGCCCTTCTTACTGCAGAGTACTTGACGATTAAGTGGAAGAAAAAGGAAACATTACAATTTTTTTTTTTTTTTTTTTTACTAAATAGTGGCATGCATATTTATAAGGCATTCTTTAATTATTGAACATTGGTGCCTTTAGATGGATTTGTTTAATAGAGACTTTATTATTGTAGAAAGCTTCCCCCAGGGTTCAATTTGAAAACAAACCAGTATATATTTCTAAGACTCTTGTACCAATCAGATTGGAAAGGTAATGGGACAATTCAAGCCTACCAAGACATGGACGTCCATCGCAGCTGATGGGAGAAACATTAAGGAAAGCATTTATCAGAATCCTTAATCACAGCACCCTTCATTAGGGGCACCCGGTTCAAACTTAGCAAAATATTGTCCTGCTCTAGTCTCAATCCCCATAATGCAGCAACTCCACTGCCCCCCTGTCTTTTCTGTTATTTATATGATCTTACTCTAAGGCTGCAAACCACCTTCCCTATCTGTGATGCTGATTGAGTTTTGATATCTTACACAGTATTAAAACTTAAGCATAGTCATGCTGAACTCAGAAAACCCAAATAAATGAGCTGTTTTTATTATTATGACTATGATTATACTCACACTAGCTGATTTTTGTTGAAATGTTTTTATTCTCAACCTACAGTCTAGGGTCAGTAGTTCATGTTGGTGTCTAAAGCTGAAAGTTTAGGAGCCTCTGATCTATTGGCCTTTATTGGCTCATTAACCTGCTAATGACTAGACGTCAAACTCTGTAGACTCTAAACCTTTTTATTCTCGGTTTAAGATTTTTTCCCCCCAACAAGCCAATTAACTGGACTGACTTTTCTGTCACTGTTGGTTCCTGACTCTTCACCATCTTTATTTTTATTCACGTTTGCACCCCCTAAATGAGCATGTATTGAATGTCTAAGTATTATTATCAGTAGCCTCCTTCCTACAATTCTTGTATTGAACTAATGTAATTGTTTGTGAGTTGCTCAGTGGAGCAGTGGGCAGCATTGCTGCCTTGCAGCAAGAAGGATCCGGGGTCGATTCCCGGCCCGGGGTTTTTCTGCATGGAGCTTGCAACTTCCTGAGCATGGGCTCTCTCCGGGTACTCTGGCTTCCTCCCACAGTCCAAAAACATGACTGTAAGGGTTTATTGGCTTCTCTAATTTCTCCTTAGGCGTGAGTGTGTGCGTGAATGGTTGTTTGTCTCTGTGTTGCCCTGAGATGGACTAGCAACCTGTCCAGGGTGTACCCCTCTTTCCTCTTGACAGCTGGAGATGGGCACCAGCACCCCTCGTGACCCCAGCTGTGATAACACGTGAGGGATGGATGTTGTTTGTGCGTCACAAAAAAACATACGTTGGGTTTAAATAATTTTTATTGGATATTCAGAAACATCAAAACTTAATCACAATTCAAATATTTACAGTATTTTCTTTACTAAATTAGACATTATTAAGCCCCATTCTTTTTTACAAACTGGCTATTGAGAAAAATCTATTATATAATTACGAAAGTCCAACAGAACCTGTTCTTAGGGGATCTCTGTTTCAGTAGTGATTGCACCACAAATGCACACTGTTATATCTGCTAGATAAACAAGTATCCGACTGCTTAATTCTAATTATACATTTATGTGGGGTGTTCTAAGTCTTTGGCTCATCTGAAGATGCATCTACTTTAGTAATAATTGTGTTCGCTTTTTAAAGGGGTTTCCTGCTTTACTCTGCTAGGACTACAGGTGCTGGTCATAAAATTAGAATATCATGAAAAAGTAGATTGATTTCAGTAATTCCATTTAAAAAGTGAAACTTGTATATTATATTCATACATTACATACAAACTCATATATTTCAGATGTTTATTTTGTTTAATTTTGATGATTACAAATGACAACAAATGAAAATCTCAAATTCATCATATCAGAAAATTAGAATATTACTGAAGACCAATAAAAACAAAGGATTTATAGAAATGTTGGCCAACTGAAAAGTATGAACATGAAAAGTATGAGCATGTACAGCACTCAGTATTTAGTTGGGCCTCCTTTGGCCTGTATTACTGCAGCAATGCGGCGTGGCATGGAGTCGATCAGTCTGTGGCACTGCTCAGGTGTTATGATAGCCCAGGTTGCTCTAATAGTGGCTTTTAGCTCTTCTGAATTGTTGGGTCTGGTGTATTGCATCTTCTTCTTCACAATACCCCATAGATTTTCTATGGGGTTAAGGTCAGGAGAGTTTGCTGGCCAATTAAGAACAGGGATACCATGGTCCTTCAACCAGGTACTGGTAGCTTTGGCACTGTGTGCAGGTGCCAAGTCCTGTTGGAAAATGAAATCTGCATCTCCAAAAAGTTGGTCAGCTGCAGGAAGCATGAAGTGCTCTAAAACTTCCTGGTATGTGGCTGCGTTGACCCTGGACCTCAGAAAACACAATGGACCAACACCAGCAGATGACATGGCACCCCAAACCATCACTGACTGTGGAAACTTTACACTGGACTTCAAGCAACGTGGATGAAGTGCCTCTCTTCTTTTCCTCCAGACTCTGGGACCTTGATTTCCAAAGGAAATGCAAAATTTACTTTCATCAGAGAACATGACTTTGGACCACTCACCAGCAGTCCAGTCCTGTTTCTCTTTAGCCCAGGCAAGACGCTTCTGACGCTGTCTGTGGTTCAAGAGTGGCTTGACACAAGGAATGCGACAGCAGAAACCCATGTCTTTCATACGTCTGTGTGTGGTGGTTCTTGAAGCACTCACTCCAGCTGCAGTCCACTCTTTGTGAATCTCCCCCACATTTTTGAATGGGTTTTGTTTCACAATCCTCTCCAGGGTGCGGTTATCTCTCTTGCTTGTACACTTTTTTCGACCACATCTTTTCCTTCCCTTCGCCTCTCTATTAATGTGCTTGGACACTGAGCTCTGTGAACAGCCAGCCTCTTTAGCGATGACCTTTTGTGTCTTGCCCTCCTTGTGCAAGGTGTCGATGGTCGTCTTTTGGACAACTGTCAAGTCAGCAGTCTTCCCCATGATTGTGTAGCCTATAGAACTAGACTGAAAGACCATTTAAAGGCTTTTGCAGGTGGTTTGAGTTAATTAGCTGATTAGAGTGTGGCACCAGGGGCCATCAATTTTGAACCTTTTCACAATATTCTAATTTTCTGATATGATGAATTTGAGATTTTCATTTGTTGTCATTTGTAATCATCAAAATTAAACAAAATAAACATCTGAAATATATGAGTTTGTATGTAATGTATGAATATAATATACAAGTTTCACTTTTTAAATGGAATTACTGAAATCAATCTACTTTTTCATGATATTCTAATTTTATGACCAGCACCTGTATAACAGCAGTTCTTCAACTATTTATAGATACCTGAGAAAAAGTAATATCCCCCTTTAAAAATATCTCCTGTTCTTGCTGTTTTATTCACTTAATGTTTCAGATCATATGACAAATTTTAACATCAACAAAGTTAGAGTAAATGTAAATATAAATTGTAGTTTTTTAAATGATGATTGCATTAGTTAATAGATAGGCTAACTGAAACAACACAATGCTATTTACAGGTGTACTACCCCCTTGGTTAAATCAGGAATTTAATTTGTCTAATTACAGTTCTTGAAGGTTAGTTTCAATTTAAATAGAACCTGCATGACAACATGAAGTAGGCCAATTAGGTCTAAAAATATGGCACATCACATCTCCACCTTTAGACATTTAAGAACAGGTGTGAATCTAAAGCCAATGATGGTTTGCAAACTTTTATGTCATTTCTAATAACTTTATCATAGAGGACATAAAAAAAAAAAAAACTAAAGCATCTAAGGCCCTACAGCATTGTTTTCAACCCTGGTCCTCAACACACACTGCCTTTCATGTTTTACATGTTTCCCAGTTTTCATACACCTGACATCCATAGCAGATTATCAGGCTTTGCTGAGTTGCAATCATCCGAATCAGGTGTGTTTTAGCAGAGAAGCATCTAAAACATGAAGAGCAGTGTGCCTTGAGGAGCAGCTTTCAAAAACACAGCAGGCCCCACAAACATTAATTAAGGTCTGTGTTCAGGACTTAATAAGAGAAAATTGAAAAATGGGTAGTGGGAAAAAAAAGGTGTGCAAGAACCTCTTGAAGCCAATACTGATGAGTATGTTCTGTAAACTGAAGAGAAAAATATAAAATGGCATTTAAAAGTGGTCATGGTACAAACCTTCCTCTAAATACCATTAAGGTTTTGGAATGGTATAGTCAAAGTTATTTATGGCTGCAGTGGGTGATACAATGGGTTAGGTTTAGGGAGAGATGTTGAAAAATGCCAAAATTGCAGTACATGATAGATTTATCATTATTAATGTTTTTGCAATGATTCTGATGATGTAAATCTTGAATAGAAGGTTTAATTTGAGCACTACAGAGTTCAGAAAAAACTATTTACCATTTTAAAAGCAACACAGAAATGTAAAAGTTTACAATGAGCGGAAGAATGAAGGGGATGTTGGCCATAAGAGAACAATGTCGCTTCATATTTAGACATTTTACACAGCAAAAAAACTTTAGAATCTCACATTTAGTCTCTGCTAGTCTATTATTTACAGTATTCAACAAATGTAAACCCTCAACAGAACCTTGTTGTTCAAAGGCTAGCACCTCAAAGAAAGGCTGTCGGTTTTAGTCCCTTTACTTCTTTTGCTTGGTTCTTCATGCTATTCCAATCGTCCATAAAATGTACATCAAATAAAAGTTTTTAAATAGAATTTACATGTGATATTGAGTCAGATGATCTGTTACAGTGAACAACGATTCTCTCCTTCTTACATGCAGTACATTACAAAAATATTCATGTCCCTTGAACCTTTTCCTGCTTTGTCACTTTCATATATTTCAGTTTTTGTTTTCATTTACTGTTACAAACACCAAGTAGTGCATAACCGTGAACAGAAAAGATGCTGCATGGTTTAAAAATGATTCACAAATAAAAATCTAAAGCGTGGAATCTGTATTTCCCTCCTGCACCCTTACACACCGGAATAAAAACCATTGCAACCAAATCCCCTCTAAAATCACCTTTAGAAGAGTTATAATCTGAGTGTAATTTTCAGGGCTGATGCAGCAGGTCTGTGAAGTCATTTAGAAACGTATTTGAGTTTAGAGGACTAAGTGATTTAGAAAGGCCAAGCACCACACAGCTAATGAGCTACAGATTAAGGCAAAATGAAGTTATTTATGACAAAATGAAGCCTGGTTTGCAACAAAGATTATTCTCCATAGTATTACCTCAGGTCACCAACAGACACGTGAGCCAACCATTTATCATTTTCACTGGGTTGGAGCTTCCCAATTCTTGTTTACAGGGGTTTCTGTACTTTGTTTTATCCATTTCCTTGCAGCCACACACTTAACCTAAACTAATAGGTAATCAACAGACATTTGGTGGCGTGCTGAGGAGGTAATCTAATCACTTGAATCGGATGTCACAACGATGCACTGACTTGTGTTAATCAATTACAGAAAATTTAATTAAATTGCTATAAAAATTATGGTATTCATGTAAAACAAATGTGAAACAAGGGGTATGATTACTTTTGCAAGCATCTTTAGAAGTAAGCACACAGCGCACCAAAACCATGAAAAGGATCAGGAGTACTTTCATTATTTTTCAGTCACATTCATTCCTTGATATTGTAAACAATAATTTTCGAGCTCACAGAGCAGATCTTCAAAGTCCTCCTGTGTCCTCCTGTTTCCTAACCACGTGATAGTTTTGTGAGCTGCACAGGTTTTTTTTCCGCTGCAAACAAGCAACTTTCTCTGAGTTTGCGTTGTTTGTTTTTCTGGATCCATGCGTGTAAGAGTCCACGCTGCGGCTGCTGCGCGTCACCGTGACTCTGAAGGTGTGGGTGTACTGCAGCTCCATCTTATCCTCCTCTGACACTTTGATGAAGGGACACCAGGCAAACGCATGACGGAATCCGGCTCGAAACCTGTAGAAGGACATGGCAACATTCTGAAGAGCTCATGATTTCACAGATATTGTTCTACTGGTCAAACATGGATACAGGAATATTTTACCTTTGGTTCAGACAGCAGTATATAATTGGATTGTACATTGTTGAACTCATAGCCAACCAGAAAATAGCCAGATACACCTAACAAAGAGATAAAGGGTGTTGAGTGATAATTCTGTCATATTTATGCACAACAAGCAGATAATCTGGGTCTAACCTGCTGGATGTAATGCTGTTTATAAATATCTCTGTTAAAGGAGCCCAGAATAAAGTAAATATGGTAGGGAAGCCAGCAGAGAGCAAAGGTCACCACCACAACCACCATCATCTTCACCACCTAGAAAGTTACAGAAGAAATAAAACGAAGATTTAAAGACAAACCAAAAATCTTCACTAAAAGGGCTTAAGAAAGCAGGCAGACCTTCCTCTTGGCTGTTATCTGGCTGTGGTAATGCTCTGTTGCCTCCCCAGGGATGTGTCCACCCCAGAGCGACCGACCAACTAAACTGTAGGTCACCAACATCACCAGCAGAGGGAGCAAGTAGATCAGCAATATCACTGCAAACTGGTAGCTGAACACAATTATACAGAAGAAAGTGGAGATGCAAAATTGACAAATGATGCGAAAAAGGGAAATAGAGCTGCTGAAAGCTTAAAAAATCAATCTAAAACAGAATATCTAGAAATCAAAGTCTGATTCTGTCTCAATGTTAGTCTATTTTATTCAATCCTCTTCTTTCACCTTAGCTGATGGGTTCCTCCATAATCATCCGGCCAGTCAACCATACACACGGTCCTGGGGTAGTAAAATTTAGTTATACTGTAGTAACACTGAGGGAAAGCCAGCGAGAAGGCCACAATCCAAATCAAAGCAATTACGACCTTTGTGGAGCTGGAGGAGAGGCGAGGCTTCAGTGGGTGGATGATCGCCATGTACCTGGAAGAAAGCCAGAAAAAAAGTTTATCTAACAAGGAGGGTTGGAATCAATTTAAGACATTCCCTCAAGTTAAATGAGAAACTAAAGCTTTCAGTTAAAGAGGTTTATTGTTCACAAATTGGTAAAAAAAAAAAAAAAAAGAAAATACTATATATTTTTAAAGCAGATTTCTTTTTTTTTTTTTTAGAAGTATTAAGCAAATGTTCAGCTATGTTTAACAACATTGCCTTACAGAAGTATTCAGAAACCTTTTTACATTTAAAATTTATCAACTTAAGCTACTTTAATGTGTCTTTGATGTGATAGGCCAACTGTTTGGATGTAAAAGGGAAAGGAGAATAATGGAATACAAGTAAGGTTTGTTGAGAAGATTAGTGAAAAAACAAAAAAAAGAACCAATAAAACTAAAAAACAGATGGAGATGTTTAGAGCTATCTACTTCTAATTAGAAGATGAAAATAATGAGGCACAGTAAAACTGCAGGACCAGGCAACACCATGGTAAATTTAGAGGTGTTGTGTTAAATCCATACTACTGCAATTTAATCTCAATTACGATTATATACTTTTATTACAGAAAACAAAAAAAGAAACATAAAGCAGTGGTTGTAGTATGAAACATAAAAAGATGTTTAAATATATGGAGGCTTTTTCTAGAAATAATTTTCTAGTTTTAACTGGAAATCACACTATAAGTTCATCTAGCATAAGTAAAGGGATAAAAATACCCTCTGAGGAAAACAAGCATTTCAATTTGAAAGGAAAACCTGCATCTTTTTTATTTGTGTGAATCTGCCTGGTTTACATCGGTATTAATCCATGGAAATGAAAAGCAGTATGTGCAGGGGGCAGAAAGTAAACAGATAAAACTGTGTGCCTCTGATTGCCTGCCTCTGGTTATGTCCCTGACCAGCTGCTAGAGCAACAATAACACAACATAATCCAATCTACAGAAAAATTAGTCGCATCAATTATTTTCCCCAGCAAATATAATTTGCTAGTCTCTGATGATGTTAAGATGATATGATGGTGGTACGCGTCGACAATCGCAGAAAATTTCAACTCGGAGATTCTGAAATTCTTTGTGCTCACTAAGGATATATATATATATATTGGATTCTTTTGTATATTTATGTGTAGAGAGAAGAATAATAGAACATGTTCTGTAAAACTCTATTACTCAGTGTGTCAACTTTATGGTCTAATCATTAGGCTGAGACTGTGAGTCACACAGCTGAACCATTCAGGGCAGACAGCCTAAGTGTTTCATGACTAATGAAGTGAAATCTTGCATGAATTAGTTTGAATAAAAACCAAAATGTTTTTAGCATCCTTTAAGACTTGATGTTGCCATGATTAGAATAATCACAGATTAATGTTTTTGCGTGATTTCCATCATCTTTGTCGTCTTCCTTTTGCCTCAGATCTATGCTTGTACCCATTGATTGGTTGTTTTGTCACTGAGATGAATTAATTCATGTTTCTGCTGATTAAAATGTTAATGTGTATTCTGTGCAGTGTTGAATTTGGTTTTCTTTTTTTAATCCTTTGCTGATTTTGCACATTCTGTTCAGATGCATTGCAAGTTTTAATAGGAGGTGTAAAAGATTCAGACTGTTCAAATGCATCAATGTGTTTCTCATCTTTGGAGAAACTGTATTGTCAAGACATGAATAAGTACAAAGCATTACAGAATTATTCATGTTATGGGACATCTCAAAGAGTGAAATATTCTGCAGGATAGATTCTTTTTCAAATTTAGCTGCTTTTAGTTGTACAGTTAGAAAAAAGGAAAGAGAAAGGGGGGGTGACATATAGTATAGGTCTCCAGGCAGATATTAGAACCCAGGAGAGCTGCTTTAAAGGTAGAGTCCTCCAAACATGATCAATGGTCTCTAACCCCTGCACTGTCGCAACATCCTTCTGTAAGATTCTTTTGAATAAACGAAACGTGTTTCAAAAAATAAGATCCTTAACATCTATGGTAGGAAAGATCAGCAGTGCATAAGTCTTGTTTGAGAAAAAAGCCTGATCAGTCAGACCGACCTACGGCGCATTTTAGTCATTCTAAATAGGCAGGCCATTGCAAAAAGTTTTAAGTTCTCTTTATATCTTTAGATATAAAAAAAAGTTTAGTATGTATTCATCAAGATCAACAGAGAATAAAATCATGAAAATAAGCCTTAGGTATATTTAGTAATATAAACTAATCTGAAAGCAGAGAGTAACTTGAATATTGTATATCAACAAGGGATAGGAGCTAAGGGGGAACTAAACTCAACACGGATTTTTAAATGAAATGATACCAGTGACAGTCAGCAGGTGAATCAGGAAACTAATTTAACAAAGGAATAGGGAAAACAGTGTCACCATCTCAGAGGAGAATGGACAAGACAGCAGCAGCTTGAATCAACTTGTCACCATTCAGGTATGCAGGATACCATGTCAGAACCAGCATCTTAAAGCTGCAGAAGACACACTTGGGGGCATTTTTTTTAAGCTCAGAAGTGAAGACCCAGGATGCAATTTGCAAGGGCTCACCATAGTTAGAATACGAGATCAGAAAACTGTTGACTGATCCATCAGTTATAGCTGCAAAATTGAGATGGCAGGGTCAGGATGATGAAAACAGGACATGAAAGCATGGACCCATCCAGCCTTGTGTCAGTGATTCGGTTTATCAGCGGTGGTGTACCAGGGAGAAACAAAACAGTTGGTGAACATGCCCCTCTATCACTTTACAGCCAAAGTAACCATTGTCTACCACCACCATAAAGCTCAAATAATGAGATTGCAGACCAGTTAGATCAGGTTTACTGAACAAAAAACACAGCAATGCCGTTTTATTAAATCAAGCTTGACTACGATCGGTCCATATTTGACCCAAGTGCTGCTGTTACAGTGAAAAAAGACAAGAGAGGATGTTTCCCTTTCAGCAGCTTTAGGAGTCTAGGATGAATGTATGTCTGAATTCAGTATAATGGCTGTCTGAATGTAACATCAATTTCTTCAAAAAAAACATTTGTGTGGGGGGGGTGGGGGTTAGTGTGTGAACTTTCCTTTTACACTCTCAGTCGGTTGTGTCTGTTTACACTGCACTGAACAAGGTTGTGGTGGAGCTTTTCTTCTACTGTTGCTGCATGCATGCAGGCTGAGTGATTATTGCAGAGTTAACAAGTCAAAGCCACCAACTGTTGGTTACCTCGAGATGGTGACTCAGCAGCTGTTTTCTTGAATCAAAAACTGCATTACTTGATAATCCGTATTTACTTGACTTTGAATATTTGATTGAAAATACTCTTATCTTTTTTTTATTAACAATACTTACATGGATGAATGAATGAATGAATTAATGAATTAATTAATTCATGTGTTGTTTATGGACAACAGATGAAAAATAGCCCTTTGGCTAATTCTGGGGCATTTACATATTTTTAATTAATGTAAATTGTCCCTAACAACTAATTATATCCTTACTGCTATCTTAACACACTAAACTGAAATAAATCTAAGTGCATCAAAAGCAGTGTGATGCAGCTGTCTGTTATAAATAATGGCCTATTGAAAACAGTGTGTAAGAAGCCATTACAAAAGATCAAGTTTGCTGTCAGCTCCACAGCTAGCAACATCAATCAATGCAGTGGATGTCAAATTGTAATTTGGAAAACATAGAAAATAAACAAAGCAGAGCCTCGCCATTAGCAGACTGACCAATCACGCTTCACTAAGCATTAACAACATCTGTGTCTCAGCTGTGTGTTGGCCCACATCTCCCTCATGCTGCAGCTCAGTTTGTATAGTTCCTGCTAAACATAATTTCAAAGGTTATTTCTATTTAGACCATAACTAGATGAATTTCACAAAGAGATGCTAGGTTATCTTAAAAGATGTGCAAACTGCAAACCTCTCAAAAAGCTCTTTCCTATAAATCTGGATAGTTTCACCGGACATCAGTGCCCACACTTAAAGACTGAATCTTTGACTTTAAGTGAAAAGAAGAGAAGCAGTGCTATGATAAGTGTTTTAATAGAGGTTCTTTACTTAACCAGATTTACTTTAAAAAACCTAAATGAGTGAATAGTTTAGAGTAAGAATATATTACCTGTCCACTGATATGGCAGCCATCGAATATATTGATGAAAACATAGCTGTGATCGGAAAGAAGTTCTGAAATCTACAATAACCCAGGCCGAAGTACCAGTCGTTGTGCAGAGCATAGACAAAGTTGAAAAGGGTGTTAAAGGTTGCCATGGATGCATCCGAAAAGGCTAGGTTGACGATGAAGTAGTTGGTTACGGTCCTCATGCGTCTATGAGCAAGGATGATCCAGATGACTGTGACGTTCCCTGTGATAGACACCAATATTATGAGAGAGTAGGCCATGGCCCACAGAGCCACCTGAGAGGAAGAGTAGGAGGAAGACAAACAGGGGAGGGGAGGAGAGAACTGTCACTAGCATTATCAAAGAGGGAGAAGAAGAGTTTAAGCATTGGTCGTGTTTTGGTAGAGTCCTAATATATCTTCATAAAGTTATTTCATTTTGGTAGTTTACTTGAAAAAGGTAAGCTTGAGTATGTATTTAAGTCAAAGGAACATACAATTATTATTTCTGTTTCATTTCTTGTTTGTCTTTAAGCTGATAAAAATGACAGCATTGGAATATGCTGTGTCCAACACAACAATAGATAGACTGTTGTTTTGACAGCTTTCCAGACCATACAATGTGACACTACAACGGCAAAAACTTGTGCAATTACTATTTGATACCCTGTGCAATAACCTGTTTCTCTACATTATACACATTTTTCTTCCTTTGGCAGATGATTCTTCTTTCATTTTTTAGCTGATGTAACAAGTATATTTCTCCAGTGTGAAATCAATAAAGTAAATCAATAAATCAATCTTACAAAGGGAGGGTAAGCCCCAAAAGTAAATCGTTAAGGAAACTGGCTGGTCAAAGATTGCTAGATAAATGAAGATTAATGAAAAATCAGTGGAAGGAAAAAGTGTAAAGGATAAAGATACAAAGCATCAATAATAATTGAGAAGCAAAGCTCTTTCAAGGGATTCACACAGATTAGTCAGGTAGACTCAGTACTTCTGACACCACCATCAGTACTATACCTAACAATGCATATGAATATATAATTTTCTGTCAACCAACATTTCTTTTTCAATTTTTTTTTTCATTGTTCCCATATACTGTATGTGAGAAACTGTTCTTTGAGTTTTCATTCTCTGTAAGCCATAATCAACATAACAATGTGCCAAAAATCTATATATAATCTGAACTTCTTGAACTGAAGCCCTCTTTTCCTTCCCCACCTGCCAGACTGGCTGCTGGAACTGATTCCCGGTGGTCTCGTTTTCATAGTCCAGCCAGTCAGAGCTCACAGACATTGGCATTAAAGTGGCCTCTGGCTCTCGTTGAAAATGTTTAATAAGACTCTCAGCGTCCATGACTCCCCTTGTTACCTGGTGGCAAAAAAAAAAAAAAAAAAGGAAGGATGACCGTGCTGTGCGTAATAAGAAATAATGAGGGGCGTGCAGACTATTGAGGAGGCTTCATTAGTCAATGAATGGCTTCAGAAATTATTTACAATTCACGTTGTAAACTACCTGTTGCAAAATATGTTAAAAGGATATAAAACTTAAAAGGTTAGTCGGGCATCACATATTTTGTCATTATATTTTAATAAAAATGATCCAAATTGTGATAATAATGATAATACAAATGGAAAAATACAGTTTCTTTGCAACAATGAGCCTCCAGAGTTAATAAAAAAACCATCGTGGCGTAGTCAGATATAAAGATATTTCTTTTTAAATTATTTTTCAAATATCGTTCCTCACCCTTCTTGTAAAATATCACAAGGAAAACAAGAATTACAGCTTTACAAATCCATTTATATTATCCAATTAATGAACAAAGTATCGCCTGCAAGAATAAGCTAACTATCTTAATTTAGTTTTTATTGTCTTACCTCTGTAGTCCGATTATCCCGTGAGCTCTAACTCCAGATGTTTCGGTCCATCGCGGTCAAACATGAAAGCCCAGGTGCTTTATGGACGCTTGGGTCTGACCAAAAACCCATTCATACAATCTTATCCGCCTTCACAGAAACACACGGTTCCTCAGTCTCCCACTTTCTCTCTGCTGGAATGTGTTACGCGCAGTTTTTACGCGCTGCTCCACAGCGAGACGCGCGGACATTTCGACGCAGGAAGACGCGCACCGATCCTTAGGGACAGGGAGGAAGTGTTATCAGTCGGTTTCTAAAGCCTGGATGTGGGTTTAAAATAGCTTTTCAAATGTTTACATAGGTTATATTAGCGCTGTCAGTAGAAAAGGCTTGAGCAAATTTAACCCGTGTTCCAATTCTGATTTTCTCAATCTACAGCTTGGAGGTGGAAAATTGCAATGATGAATGATTTTTCTCATCAAAACAGGTTTCCTGAACATGAAAACTTGGCTATGAACGAGAATACCCTTATAAAGGAAAAAAATATATACATAAAATGAGCCCATTCTAAATCGAAAAGTATTTTTTTTTTTTATTATCATGTCTTTGGATGTGGCGCATCACCAAGGGTAACATCATGAGGCCACAAGACTGAAACAAATAAGTAAATTCTATCTGCTATATGCCCAATTAAGTCTTTAAATGTCCAATAAACATGAAATGGGACCCCACCATCTTTCAATGGTGTTAGGTTTCTGTTTCTGTTATGTTTTTCTTTTGATATTCAGTTTTGCTTTGCTCTTTGTTTTATAGGTTTTTATGGTTTAATTCTTATTTTGTTGTGTTTCTTGGGTTTTTCTTAGTTACTGTCTCAGTCTTGGATCTGTTATGTTTTTCTTTTTAGTGTTCAGTTTTGCTTTACTCCTTGTTTTCTATAGTGTTAGTGGTTTTACTTTTTATTTTACTGTGTTCTCTGGTTTATACTGTTTCAGTCTTGCCTCTGTTATGTTTTTCTTTTGAGTGTTCTGTTTTGCTTTACTCCATGTTTTATTGTGCTAGTGGTTTGATTCTTATTTTGTTTTTTCTGTTCTTAGATTTTTATTTGTTGCCCTCTGCTGCCCTCTTGATTTCTCCTTTTTTCTCTATCTCCTTTCTTGTTTCTGCTCTGCTCACACCTGCTTCTAATCTGCTCATTAGCCCTCTCTTTGTTTCAGTCTCCTACAAATACTCTTTCTGTTCTGTTCTTATTTGCTGGGTCCTCGTATAACCTCATCAGTCTTCCTCCTACTCGTCTCTCTGAGCCTTCCTCCTGGTTACAGTTCTTCCCCTGTTGACTCCAAGGTTTTTTGGTAACGTTTGACTTGAATTTTCTTGTTTCTTTTTTTTTTTTTTTTACTTTGTTTTTGGATTTTCGGTTGCCTGTTTGTTTGGACTTTGTTTTTTCAGTTGTTCGTCATTAAATCTACCTTCTATTCACCTCTGCCTTCCTGCCTCTGCTTTGGGTCAACAATCCTAAACCAAATCCTGACAAATGGTCTCATTTCTTGGCTGATTACATCAGATTTTTAGGTCTCCTTCAAATTTGGCCAACAACTGCATCTTTTATTTTTCCAGACATAAATAACTGCCATTGTTTCCTTCCTGTGGCTTCCTATCCCATGATTCACTGTGGGTCAAAGCAGATTGGTTAAGCAGGGCACTGGCTATAACTGCTATTGAAAATTAACATATTAAAGGTATGGTGGACTTTTCTTTTCTCAGAAATGTAGGAAATAAATGCCAAAGTAAAGACAATCAAAAAGAAGATTCAAAACAAAATGCTAAAAAGTTTTAAGATGTTTTTTTTTTTAAAGAAATATTTTAGCTTTATAAAATGTTAATATCTGCGGTGTCTATTAAAGAAAAGCAGGCTTTTTCATATGTGTCTTGGTGCTGGGCTTCAATCAAAAACTGCTGGAAAATCCATGGCGTGATATTGGCTTGTTTTTTTGTTTTTTTTTTCTTTGGTGGCGGTTCATTGTGCACACCAAAGAAAAGCCTGTAAGAGTGTGCTCTCTACAAGGCACAATTTAATCCTTCTCCTGTATTGACATCATTCTTGGAAGGGTGCTAACAGTAGCCCACCTTGCTATCACTACTCCCAAATCTAATCAACCTGTAGGAATGATTCCAACAACCAGGGACTCACCTACAGGCAGTGGGTATGTGTTGAAGTTTGTGTAGAAGAACAGGAAATGATGTTAATGGACTAGGGCCTATAGGCAAACTGCTAATGCTGCTAATGCCACATCCAAATGAACATGCACACAATTTCAATTCTTGCACGAACCCTCACTAGAAAAGAAAAAGCTATCAGAAGGGGTCTGAATAAGCTCTATTTAGTTTTTTTTTCTTCCTAAAAATGATTACCATGAATTTAAAATCAATTTCAGACTATAAGATATCAATTAATTTAAATTGGCTCCAGCTCTCCTGGAACAAGGCAGCTGACATTCAACACACCTGAGTGGCAACTGAAAACAGACATACTTCAGTCAGATTAACAGGGAATTGTTTGATTTACCGTAACATTAGTGTTGTGCTGGACAGCTGGTATATAAGGAGATTAGTAATTTGCTCCTCTTTAACACCTGCCTGCTTCTACAGTGCAGCTGTTTGACTCACTGATTTGATAAAAAAGTAGAAAACCAAAAGATTGAGATCCAGAGAATATTATCAAATTTGGATTTATATCATAAATAAAAAAACAAAACCTTTTTTTTTCTTTGGAACTTATTTATACAAATAATTCTGAAGGTATATCGTGAGATATTTGACATATCTGGTTAATTAAGAAAATAAAGAACCCTCATGTTCATCTTAAGGACTAATTGTTTGCTTTAATTATAGGTTTCTGTTCTAGCTGCCTATTCTACATGGCCCTCATTTTTTTTTTTTTTTTTTAGTTTTCCTATTTAATTACATTGAGATTATTCATTAAAAAATAATGACAACAAATCTTTATGCTTTTTCTAACACTAAAATGAAGTGTATAAAAAAAGAAAAAGCTTTGCTCTCTTTTTGCGATTCACTCTATCACGTGGTTACTAGGTGACAGGAGTCACACAGAGATTAGGCAAGGAACAGCTAGAAGGACAGACCATGTAAATTTAAGTTACCCAAGAACTTCACATATTTTAGTGGTCTTCAAAGAATCTTTTCTACTGCTGAAATTTTCCAATTTAAAGTTTCCGATTTGCCACTTAATAAAATATTTTGTTTAAAATGTTTACTTGGTAAATAGGACTACATTTGTCAATCTGTAATTAGAAAAATCTAATACGTTGGAATAATCATTCATTTATTAAAATATTAAGCTGACATTGTACTGCATATGAGTGTTTGATTTTGGGTCAAACTTATTTTATGTTTGGATTACTAGAGGGGTGTCACTTAGGGAGCCCAAGGTGCAGGTAAAAAGCGAGTAGAATAATCCATTGACAGAACAGCCATACTGCAAAAACGATCTAAAAATGAGTAAAAATGTCTTAAATCCGGGGTATTTAGCAGGTAAATAAGATGATTTGCCAATGGAATGAGTACTTTTATTTTAATTAATAATAATTAGATAATATGCACTTGAAATAAGAAAATATAATTGTTTTTTTCTTATTTTAAATGTAAATTGTCTTGGTCCATAGGCAAAGTGTCTCGCTTACCTCCTTAATTCAAGAAAAAATGCACTTATTTTAAGAGAAAAAAATGACTGAAGATAAAAAATTTTTGGAGTGCATCGTTTTTCTTTGAGCGAACCCAGAGAGAATCCATACATTCACAGCGAGAACATGTCAAACGGCATGCATCTTGCTGCAATGCAACAGAGCTTCCAACTGTGTGATCAGACGGCCATTTCCTTTGTTAGTTCTTCTTACAAGCATGGTCCCTGAGATGTTCAATTGCATTTGGAGCATCTAAAATTCATAAACAAGAAGTGTATTTAAATTTATTATCTGAGCACATTTCTTTTATTAAAACTGAGTTGTAAAAGAATTAGATTTAGAGAGAAAAAAGTCTCTAGCCCTTTAAAGCCCAATCCAAGAATAAAACAAAACAGAAAATTACTTTTTTTTGGGTTTGAATTCCTTATTTGCCATTTTAACAAAATATGTAAAAAGAAAAAACAGAAATACATTTTTGATATTAATAATTTATTATAAGTCAAGATTATTTTTTGTGTAGTCTTCTACTGGCTGTTATCAGGTATATCTGATTGTGTACAATAGGATTTTGAGCAAAGTTTTTACCATTAAATTATGCAAAAGGTTTCAGATGCAAAATATTTCAGAAACCGTATGTATCAAATATGATACATTTGGCATTATAGGGTTAAAAATATCACTGTATTGCACAGCTCGTTTCTGCGTGTTTCTATATTGCAGCCGTGTAATGTCAGAAAGAGTTTAATAATGGAAAACCATTCATAAGACAAATGAACAAGGAAAACAGAACATCTACCCA